TAATGACCTGGACCTGCTGCATGTGCATTATGCCATTCCGCATGCCTCTGCCGCTTATTTTGCCCGGCAGATCCTGCGCAAGATGGGACAGGATATTCCTTTTATTACCACCTTGCACGGTACTGATATTACACTCGTTGGTAAAGACCAGACTTATGCTCCTGTAGTTACGTTTTCGATCAATGAATCAGATGCGATTACAGCAGTGTCCAGCAACCTGCGGGATGAAACCTACCAGTTCTTTAATATTGAAAAGGAGATCCAGGTCATTCCCAACTTTGTAGACATCGCCCGCTTTCACCAGAGTGACAAGCAGCATTTTAAAAAGATGGTGGCTCCCAATGGCGAACGTATCCTGGCCCACGTCTCTAACTTCCGCAAGGTAAAAAGAGTGGAAGATGTGGTGCAGGTATTTGCGGCGGTACACAAGGAGATCAACTGTAAATTACTGATGATCGGCGACGGGCCGGAACGGCAACATGCCGAAGAGCTGAGCCGGTCGCTGGGTATTTATAATGACATCCGCTTCCTCGGCAAACAGGAACAAATGGATGAAATTTTAAGCATTGCTGATTTATTCCTCTTGCCTTCCTCTTATGAAAGCTTCGGGCTGGCAGCACTGGAAGCGATGGCTTGCGGGGTGCCCGTGATCTCTACCAATGCCGGTGGCATTCCCGAGATCAATGTGCAGGGAAAGACCGGTTTCCTCAGTAATATCGGCGATATTGAAGATATGTCCCGGAATGCTATTCATATTTTAAAGGATGAACAAACCCTGCAAATGTTCAAGGATGCGGCCATTGCCCATGCCGAAACTTTTGACAAGCATACGATCATCCCGGTTTATGAAGCGCTTTATGAAGAGGTGATTGCGAAGTACTGCCGGAAAAATAATTGTACCCCCAAGACGTTGTAGTTTATAAATTAAACAGCCACCTGAACGGTGGCTGTTTAATTTATAATGTCGCTGTTGGTGTTATTAGTGCTGGCACCAACAAAGGCGGAAAACAGTGCCTAAATGATATAAACTGGAATTACAAATGCCAGCCCTGGTTACGCAGGATTATTTAAATC